AAACCCTAAACACCACGTAACAAAATACCCCGGAAAAATGCAGAACAGACCCGATCCTCGACTTCTGTGCACGGAGGGCTTGTATCATCAGTGCCACGTGTATGTTAGAGGAAAACTTCGGTGCAAATTTGAGACTGAGAACACAAGCCAATGTTATTGGCACTGACTTTTTCAGGACGAAGAAATAAATGAGTACCTTCGTAAGATATGGGCCACACAAAGAACTATACAAGCTCAAAAGAGAAGCCTCGGAGGGAATTTTTAAGAAGCTTTTTTCTTTATTTCCAGGAAATCTCCTTCGTTTTCTTTTCTGTCATATAAGTAAATCCACATGAACTCTGAGAGAACTTTTGTTCGTCCCTTTTCACTTGATTAGTGTCTCGTTTGCAATGGTAACAGAGGCATGATTCTCTCAAAGCTGGACGCGTTCCCCTGGCGGGATTTCAAGACTGTCCAGACAATAGCGTGAACCCCAAAGGCCCCCCTCTGCCAGATGATAAAAAACAGCAGCTTCAATTAGTTTGCTTCTCAGCATGTTTTTCTTTATTCCTTGTGCATTGGAAGAAAAAGCCATTTCAGATTGCCGCTGCCTTTCCCTGCCATCATAGTTCGTATAAGGAACCACTAATAACAAGGAATAGAGACCAGAATCAAACAAAGGTAACCAGAAGCTGCAAAATCGGAGGTATTTATATTCTGGTAAAATACAAGGAACCCCAACCAGGGACCATATTGTGATAGGCACTACACAAACACGGGGCATACAATCTAGGATTTAAAAAAAAGAGGCAAAATGTACACAGAGTCATAGAAAAGAGTAAAAGGAACCAATGGTTATGTCTATCCTGTAAGTTATGGTATGGAGGTATTGAGGCTACCGTATTTTCCTGAAAACAGCAGGCACTTTTCCCCCCAAAAAAGGCTGCTGGACATTTTACTGTGCATTGTATATAACAAATACGGTAAGAGCAGTTTCTTCCAGTTACCACGCAAAAGTGAAAGTGAAATCTGTATTGGACTCGCAGGAAGCAGAGCAATGAGCAGGCTCAGCTCCTTCGTGGCTGCTACTCAGCTACTCGCTGCAAGGAAAGCTCTTTTTTTCCCTATTCCGCCTTCCAAAACAAAATGTGTATTTTATTCTGGGCTGTGTCGTATGCGAGAAAATACAGTCATTTTAACCAAATTACCTCGGGTGCCAGAAGTAGCAGAGTCGTGGCAAGATGGAGCTCTACTTGAGTTCATTTGTTAAAAGCAGGGTAAATTAGTCCACGCTGAGCTCAGTTAGGCCCTTCTGGTACCCAGCATAGTTCACGTCAAACTAGGCGTCTGCACCACGTCGCAGTCTGCAGCGCAGACGTACCTGAGGAGACCGCATTAGTCCCGTTGAGCTCCTAACCAGGTCTTTGTGGGGGAAATCAAATGGACGCACGAGCTCAGCCCTGATTCATTCCCGGCCACTTGGCACAAACGTCCTCTCTGGTATCGTAGGAGACCAGCTGAACCACCGCCGCCTTTGTTTCAAGCTCCCCCACCGTTTGGGGTTACAGCCACTGCTTCTGGCAAACAGGATTTTGGAGTATGAACCTGCTCGTTGCTGTTTGGCCCTGTGGAAAGATCCTCGGAGTTGTGTGTGTGTTTTGCAAAGGTAGGAGCAAAATCCTTTATAATGAATCAAACCCGTTTCCCCAAATTAATGCAACCCATGTAACGGGACGTTATTGGCACAACAAGCATTGCTTAAAGCAATTATCCCTAGAGGCCCTGTTATTTCCAAATGTTTCATTCAGCTTCTTGACAGGCGTGTTTAAAAACAAAGGGTGCGATGCAGAGAGAAAAATCTTTCCTTGGTGGAAAATCTCAGCTTTGATTCAAATTGTTTGCTTGCAGTTGTCCAGACACAGCGTGTTGCTTCTGAAAACCTTGCGAGCTGTATGCGTTGCAAAAGGGCCTGCTTAAGTGAAAGAGAGGTTGCTGCTTGCCAGACACCAATGTTTAATTTAGCAGCATTAGCGGGTGCCGGGCAATGTCAGCGCTTTGTTCGGAAGAAATCTGGTGTCTGAAGAATGTAAATGCTAGTTCCCGCTGATTGGCTCAACTTCCCTAGCGGGGAGCTACTAATGAATAGAAAATGCATCCTGCTGTCTCCTTTTCACGGGCTCAAAACTTGGTGCCTCAAATTGCTCTCGCCAACTAAATGCACAGAAAACATCTTGGAGCACATGAATGGGACCAGATCTAAGGCATCACATCCTGGATGGGTTTAGAGAACGTGACCCGTTGTTACAGATCAACATGATGTTAGACGGGGTCTGATGTTAGGCTTAAAATCTGTCCCCCTGTTCATCTGAGGGACAAAAATGAATAGGAGCTCTAAACGAACGCTCCTGAATGAGCTGTATTCACGGATGGGATGCTAGAGCAGTGAAAGTGGGCACAGAAATGAAAGGAGTGGAACAAGTCCGGGGGATATGAACAGGACGTCCTGGGAGCCTCGAATCACATGGGAAAGGCCAGGGAGACAGAGGACAGTTTTATGCTCTCATAGCTACATGTTCTCAGCTGAGGGGTCGGGGAGGGAAAGTGCGGGTTCTTGTACTTATTTTTCCTTTCTGAAAACAAAATCGTGTTTGTGTGGTTTGCTTTGTTAGAAGAGGACATTGCACAATGAATTTCCAAGAAAGGACACATGAGACTATTTTTCCCCCTTTCCCAGAACATCTGTAATGAATCTATCTGCTTGCACAGAGTTTCAGGATGTGAAACAAGCTTGTTTGGTACAGTTGGCCCTTTTCCAGTCTATACTGAATATTGTCGGCTGTGCTGCTCTCCATCTCTTTTCTTAGCCTACCATCTGCTGGTTAGACTTGAGAAATACATGAGGGTTGCTCTAGATCAGAGGTCCCCAAACTTTTTCTGATCATGTCCCAAACTTTTTCTGATCATGTCCCCCCTTCCAAGTTCTGCAGCTGCCTGCATACTCCTACCAGCATACATTTTATATTTTAACCCCCTTTAATGCCAATTATTATTATTATGAAAATTAAATCCGCCATTGCACAATTTCTCCTGCATCTTGAGGATCCCCAGGGGTACGTCAACCACAGTTTGGGAACCCCTGCTCTAGACTATATTCTTCAGTATTAGGGAGCCTAGGCCAAAGGCATGGAGGTCTGACTTCTACTTTCTTCCCAAACCAGTGACAAGAAAATATTCTGGCTACAGATGACCAAACCTAATCTGCTTCTACCTCTGAAAGATGCAGAAACTTCTTTGCTTAAGATTAAGCAAGAACTGTTCCCTTCAGAAGTAAAACAGGTAACGCTGTTGATAATCCATGCCTGGTATCTCAACACTAAGGCGAATGGGGCAGCCCACCCCTCAGCAAGATTGTTTCAGGCTCTCTGCAGACTCAGGCAGGCATCCATGTGCCCAGTACATTCCAGTTACCCTTTTCACTATAACAACAGCCAGACACTTGGATTTTTTAATGAAATCTGAGACTAATGAATAACTGAAAGGTCTGTCCGCACTTGGGGAATACTGAATTAGGGGATTTGGGGGTCCTGCCTATTGTCCTGGACTGGAAGGAAGCTGCTCAGCACTGAAGGTTCACCAAGGAAAGTGTACAACAGGGAAAATGGGCTACTCTCCTCGCTTCTGTTAAGACGGTTGACATTCCTTTTCCGTTCCAGATACAAAGGACCATTTATTGATCTCACTGCTTCTCTGCCATTGATTTGTTGCAAGGAAAGGCTACTAACAGGGCTGAAGGGGACAATCCCAAACAAGGAGAGACGTGGTGATATGGCAGTGCAGCATGTTCTCTGAGCTTGATCTTCTCTCAAGCAATCCAGGAGGATGGGCCATTGACTCCATGGTATTCTTGCTTTACACATGACAGGAGGCTTCACAGAGACATTATGCTGAAACTGCCCAGTGAGAAGTGAAGGGGAACACCAATATCACTGTAGCTAGGACAATAAGTAATGTTGACAGACAATACATCACTTATTAATGAAAACAGGAGAACAAAAATTCATCCATCCCCCTTATTAATGAGCATTATGCAATTTATGGTACAGTCTCTAGTTCTGAGAGGGGTCGGAGGAGGGAGGCCCATCACTATTCACTTCGCTCCTGTGCTTTCTGCACAATCCACAACACTTGATCATGGTCCGAGTTGCAATCGGGGCCGGTTGTCGTTCCCCCAACAGAGCCCCTTCCAGTCATTAAAATACCAGTATTCGTTAGGTTCATCGTGCGAAGAGAGCTGAAAGACATGCATCGTTTTCAGCGTCACTAATGATCACAGTATCTCTTCATCAGTACCACTGCTAATCACCAGGTTAATCATAAATTGACCAAAAGCTGCTCTATGCACTGACCCATCTCCAAGTGAAATTCTTTCACACTGAAAACAGTCCTCCTACATTGCTGCTAAACTTCTTTTCAAGGGAGTGGATCTTGTCACATCAGCCCAGGCTAGTAGCCACTGATCTATACCTTTCTGAATGACCCCGCTGTCTTCCTGTAACATATTCGCCTGTTGGAGGATCTGGGTGGGAAGGGCTCATCGGCACTGCTGTCTGAGAGTGTGTCAACTCATCTGCTTGGATTATATGCCATATTGTGGATTAGTAATTGAGATATTGGTGTAGCTTGCATTGATGAGCAGCATGCGATTCACCCAGGTTGCATTCCAGTCTGCTTCATGAATGTCAACCAGGGCTTCTTGAAAATATTAGTATTTGGTCACAAGTAAGTTCACTGGGAGACCTCAGAGCGAGCTCAGACAAGGGCTCCCGTAGTGCTCCAGATGAAAAAAATTAGCTCTTGATTTCTTGGCAAGAAGAAACTAGTGAATTCACAAGAGGGGTCTCTCGGTGGCACATGCTAATTTGGCTTGTCGCACTGGGAAAAGGCCATGAAAAACCATCGTACTTTCCGAAAAGGGGGCAAGGTAGCTGAAATGTCAGCAATGGACAAGCGCAAGCAGAAGACTTCCTGGGGTGTGTACATGCAAGAAGTACCCGCAAGCATAACACGGTAAGTCTCTGGCTGATAGTCACCTATTTATTAAGACATGTTGATACATCATTGGTTTTTAAATTGACTTCTAGGGTTTTTAGCCATGCAGGTCAACAGTTGTCAGCTGAATTTGCAGAACACTTGAGCCACATCCTCATCCATTACCAGGCAAGAGTGAACATTGTTCTCTATACACATCATCTACACCACCAACCATTTTCTGATGTGCTATAGTTACTTCTTGTTAGTATGACTCTACTACCATGTATGTTAGTATGTAGTTGTTAGTATGCCTCTATTACCATGGCTGTTAAGCATTTTGTATGCTTTTTTTGTGAAAAGACAGTAATAAAATAACCAGTATATGAAGACTTGCACTTATTCAAATCTTTTCTGTATAAAATTAGGATTTAGCCTATTGCCTGTCAAAACAGCAGCATATTTAACATGAAAAAATATTGTTTATTAGTTGATGTCTCCCCTGTAAACACAGAAATAGTAGGCATTGGAGTTGTTATTTCTTGCAATCCACTCAGCTACCAAAGTTGGGTATTTTTCTCTCTCGCACACTTAGCGAAGACGATGTATTATTACAGTGCCGTTTGCTGTTAGGATTTTTAGGAGCTTACTTTTGGAGTTGCATACTTCAGAAAAAAAGGCATGGGTAGAGCAATCTGCTACTAGATGTAGACTCAGAGGGTCAGATCCACAGCTGGGTAAGTCAGTGGAGCTGTGCTGATTGACACCATCTGGAGATGAGGAGGAATTTTCTCACCTTGAGAGTGGTAAAACACTGGAACAGGTGACCCAGAGAGGTGGTGGGATCTCCATCCCTGGAGGTTTTTAAGGCCTGTCTAGACAAAGCTCTGGCTGGGATGATGTACTTAGGGCTGGTCCTGCTTGGAGCAGGGGGTTGGACTAGATGTGACCTCCTGCGATCCCTTCAACCTTCAATTTCTATGATTCACTGATTCTAAGATTTGGCCCTGTGTTTGTAGCCTAACTGTAGTCTCTTTTATTTCAACATGGGAATGCTGTGGAAGCAACACTAGGGATAGGAAGGACGTTCCTACATAAAAATCCTAGCTCCCTGCTTTGGTCAGGACCACAGATGCATCCTGGCCATACTCCTTCAACTGGGAGAACAAATATGAAGTCCCATGGGTGAGGTGGGGAATGAAGTGGGGTTTGGGGAAAGTGTCTTTGGTACTTTTTAGAAACATGAAGGAGAAACAGGGATAGGAAATGTATGCAGGGGTCAAAATGCATTTCCTTATCAGAGGCAGGCAAGGTTCTCGGGGTAGATGTGGTATCTTTTATTAGACCGGTGGGGTAGTTGAAAAAAAGTTATTTGCAAGTTTTTGGGCACAAACACCCTTCTTCAGGCATAGGGAGTCTCTGCTGATCTGAGATTTTCAAGAAATGAAAGAAGCTAAAAATGTGACAGGAGGCCAGTGAGAATGTAAATAGGTGGAAATTAGGAAAACAATGGGTAGAGAAGGGAGGAATGAAGGGAAAATAATGCCAATGGTAAGCAAAGGGGGTCTGCTGTAGTTACCTTCCCCAAGGTAGAAGAGAAGCAGCGTGTGGAAAAAGTAAATAGTTGGAAATTAGGAAGACAAAGGGTAGAGAAGGAAGGGAGGGATATCTTCGTGATGTCTTGGGTAGATGCGATATCTTTTATTAGACCAACTAAATAGGTGGAAAAAAATGTTCTTTGCAAGCTTTCGGGCACAAGCGCCCTTCTTCAGGCATAGGGAGACCCTGCTGGAGTTGTGTGTTGTCCAAGGTAGAAAAGAAGCCACAACCAGCAATCCTTTCCCTGTCAAACAATGGCACCTAAAGGAAATGGCAAAGCAGCTTGGTCTACTTCAGTGGTGGGCAACTATGTCGGGCGGAGAGCCGCTTACTGAGTTTTGGCAAGCCATCAACAGGCAGCCCAGGGCAGATAAATATTATTTTTCGAATTTTTTTAGGGGCCCCGCAAGCTAGATAGAATGGCCTGGCGGGCTGCATCCGGCCCCCGGGCCACATGTTGCCCACCCCTGGTCTACTTGCTTCATCTTCTTTTCCTGCTTTCTCTCGTTCCACTTCTGAATTTATTGCAACTAAAGGAAAAATTAATACGTGTGCTCTCCTCCCTGCCACATTGTCATTCATGAAGACAGAGAGTCAGAGAGCTATAGCTATTCACAGGTGGGTGAATGTGGAGGTTTTCTAGTGCTTCCCGGTGTCCCATTTGAGGTACAGTGAGTCTGACTTCAACAGGAGATGTGAGTGCAATGCATTCAGTAAGTCAGGTGCCCAGTGTCTTGAGCTGGGCATCTAAATGTGTGATTTTAGAAAAGGTCTGAATGACCTGCTCAAGTCCTTAGTAATAGCTGGATGCACAGGCTCAACATCAAGATCCATCATGACCATTTGTGTTTTGGTTGGGTTTTTTTTTCCTACCAGCTTTGATCAGAATCAAAACCCTCGTCTGGAAGAAGAGCTGGAGCTAGGTCACTTGCTGCACCTGAAAGAGCTGTTTGCTAATCTTCCACCTGCAAGGGAAGAAGCAGACAGAAACGCAGAAAATAAAGGCCGGTGGCTGAAGCCCCCTGGAAAACAGAAAGAAAAGCCACCGGGGAGCCTGACGCTGCAGGAGTTTCAGACGGCCTTTTCCGAGCTGATCGGTTCTGAGTCCTGGAACAACCAATTGCAGCTGCTTTTCAACAAGGTGAGCATTTCAGGGGCGGGATTTCGAGCACTCCAGCTCCACCCCAGTTTGAAACACTGCTGCTCTGCTAATCCAGGCCCCAGCTGTCTCTCTCCTGCTCCCCTCACTTCTCATCTAGTGACACCAGTCCTGCATCCAGTCCTTTCACTTGCTACCTGCAGCTTCAGCATTAATTAACTGATTCTCCTTGTATCTAGTGGAGTTAAAATGCGTACCTGAGTGCGTAAAAGTGCTCTGATTTTATATCACACCTTTCTCAGGAACACATGAGTGAGGGCAATGGAGAAAATCATCCTTTTGTCCTGATTGTAAGAGTATCTGTTCATTATGTGCTGTACAGTGCTGAGCACAAACGAATCCCAGCCTCATCTGAGATGTCTAGACATGGCTGCAACGTAAATAAGCATAGCAAAACATGATATTCCCAAAGAATAGGGAGCTCAGACATGCAACCTGTGAAGTCACACATATTTTATCCTTCTCCTTGTTTGCCGCTGCGATCTTTCAGGTTGACGCCACATGCGAGGGTCTGATTGACTGGAGCAAGTTCTGCGCATACATGCTGCTATATTACAAAGAGCGGCACTCCGCGAGGAGAGCCAAAAAGGAGATTTTCCAGGAGACGCAGCCCCTCGTCCGACACTGTGTGCAGAACAAGGTAAGCGGCTGGGAGAAGGGATGGAGTAGTTAAGGTCTGTGACATGCCAATGCCTGGTGTCACCGTTTGCAGGTGTTGCAAGCAGCTCCGCAGTATTGCACTCATTGCTTTGACGGTGTTCTTCCTTCACCAATGCATCAGGAAAATGCATTAAAAAATGCGAGCTTCTCTCTTTCCCCTCAACCTGACATGGCCCAGGAAGAAGCATGCTAGCAATGTTTCACACACAGCCGGGATGTCTTCTTGCTTTATATTTCTAGAAAAGTTTAGGAAGCAATTCTCGACTCCCTTACTTGAAAACTGAAATGTTGACACCATCTAGAGTTTCCTGGTAAACAGCAAATATAAAGGGAAGGTTTCAAGCCTGAGCACTGCATGTGGACCCCAGGATTACTTCTTGTATTAACCCAGTGATAGCATTTTTAGAAATGTCTCCGTTATAAAGGAGAATCTATAAATCCTTGCTCATTTTGGCAGTCCTTACTCAGGCAAAATGCCCACTGAAGTCCATGGGAAGAGTTGTCTATGAAAATGCTAGTAAAGAGTGAATGATGCCATTGTAATGGCAGTAAAATGCTTGTCTGGACACTTGTATCTCAAGAGAGGTCCCTTTGTTGGGTGAACATAATCATCCATTTCAAGGTCACCTTGGTTAAGCATTTCCTCTCTAATTTAAAGGTTCCCGGGTCATATTCTGCTTTGTTTTTTTCCTGAAGGCTGAATGACAGACAAGTACATGATAGGAAAAGAGCGAGCGAGTTGTGATTTATATTGTTCTATGGTTTAAATGCAATGTTTTAATTTGAATTTTCAGC